TTTCTATTACTATTTATAGCGTATTACAAGTTGTATTATTTTTGGAAACTGCTGAGTCACATGAAAGAAGTTTCTGGAATATTACAGATTACAGATAATTCTAGAAAAGTCTGGGATTGCGTGACAGATTCAGTAAAAATAATTCGATCCTCGTAACAATTATAAGGCGTGAAAGCAAAGGAGATAGTATAGCCAACCTGTTGAACAGTTTTTTTTCTTTTACTCGCAGTCAAAATTACCTACTGTCTGAACTATCCAAATATCGCGTGATATTTATACTCGATTCGCCCGTTATTTGTATCTTATATTATTAAAAAGTAGATGATTGGATAATGCAATTCAAGACTTTTTATTGGCCTAGCCATTATGTTATATCAGCCAATATACCATAACCTACAAATATGGCAAGCGTACATGTCAGCTTAAAATTAAAAGGGAGCTAAAAATTAAATAAAATTTAATAACTTAATTTAACGTTTTTAATAAAACAGTTATTCCACTCGCTCTTGTTGGATATGAGATGATTATAGCCAACTTGGTGCTATGCGCCTCATTGGCTATCATCTCATATCCAATGCGCCCTTGTGGAATAATTGTTAATTATCCAACAGGCCACATTGTCATTTCAGTGCGCACGAATTTCATGGATATTTCTGGAGTACAAATATATTTGTACTTGTCTAGTGCATTATTTGTACTCTACCAAGCACATTTGGGTAATAATGATGGGTAACATACGTTTGAGATTCGCATGTCACGCTATAAATCCTAGGTGAAGGTTCAAAATAACCAAAGTTCAGAGAACCCTGTGTGACCCAGTATTATGGCTAACAAAGTTTCTGTACTTTCAGTGGTGGGTATTTGAGAGCGTGTATTAATTAGCGTGTTTCCTCTTTTCAGTGTGACTTGGGGTCCGTAGACCATCCTCATTGGATTTAGTGAATGCATCACAGAATAGAATAGACTCAGTTGTGAACCACTTATGAGAGTAGTTGACGCACAACTCATAGAAACCAAGTTAAACATCATTAAGCATATAAAGAGCAATTTTCATCAAATATGATTGCAGGAGTTTAGTGGAAAAGTTAAGAGGCAGTAGGGTCCTTCATCCCTTTAACATGGAGCATAATAGGGCAATTTTTTAATCTCATGAATCATCGGCCTTTTTATGTCCATGTGAATAAATTTTTTATTTAAAAGTGACCTGTGAATGAAGAGCTGAAATAAACGTGATTGGAAAAGAGCTCAAGGATACTACAGAAACAAATTTAGTGCGTGGTTTTCATACAACAGAGGATATTTGGTCCAAGATGTTTTATCAGGGTATTCAAGTACCAATGTGGTCCACCAGAGGGGCCAACTTGAGGACCCCCTGTCTTCTCTTTGTCGTGTTCCTCTCAAACAGAAACCAACAGAACAGGATTGATTATAGATTGAGTAGCTTAGTCATTTGCAGTGACAAATTATCCACACTTAAATATGCTACCACGAATGGAATTAACTGTAAAATTTGATTGAGACATCCAACCCTGCACATGCCCAGAAAATGAGACTTTGGGTTTAAAGAAATTTATTTTATTCTCAAATAATTAACAATTATTCCACGAGCACGCGTTGGATATAAGATGATAGATACTCAACGAGGCGCATAGCGCCGAGTTGGCTATAATCATCTCATATCCAACAAGTGCGAGTGAAATAATTGTTTTATTTAAAAAAACGCACCTAAGATATTAGACAAATCTTCTCGACTTTATTTGGTAAGAAGAAACCGGATGTTACAATGTACAGATATTAGATTATGGTATATGGGCTCATATACCATAATGGCTAAGCCAATAGAAAGTCTTGAATTGCATTATCCAATGATCCAGTTTTTAATAACAATGGTTATGTTAGAATTCATAGCGATTCTCATGCAATTAATGCCTGTAATTATGATATCTGTTCTTGCAGGCAACTGTAAAGCTTCCATTAGGTGACATGCTTTGTAGTTCTGATGAAGCTCAACTTATGAGGCTATTCATAGAATTGATTAAAGCCAAAAAGGTTATAGAGATAGGTGAGATGGACATTTTAAATGATATGTCAGCTTTTTTTTTATTTGAATTTTATTGGAATAATGATAGATCGTAGCACTGTTAAATTGTTAAGGAAATTCAAAAGTGGAATGTGAACCTAACACTTTCCTTTGTGCAGTATAGCCTAAATCATTGTTGTGGTTGATATAATCCCCAAGAGTCAATTAATTGACAATTATGTCACTCAGTGGTCAGCAGGTAATATAAATAGTAGAAATGGGTCAACTTTCCCTATTGTGGGTGATGACAATAAGTTTTTAAATAGAAATTAAGCAACCCTCATTAGCTTTGAATTGGGATTTGATGGGATGGAAAAAAATAGTGATATGTAAAAGGGTGAGGATGTATGCCCTAACATCCTTAAAAAAATTTTTGCTTAACTGCTCCCTTAGCTTCTAGTGGAAAGGCTTAACTGAGGCTTATTGAAATGTCTCTAGTATATACATACTGGTATTTAAAAACTTAGAGTGAGCTGAGTGAAACAAAACATTGATGAGTTGTTACAAAAATTTCTACCTGTAATTTTTTCAAATTCTTTCTTATTTCAGGTACTTTCACTGGCTATAATACTCTTAGTATGGCTATAGCTCTGCCATCTGATGGCAAAGTTGTGTCATGTGATATCACAGACAAGTTTATGAAAGAGATTGATGCTCACCGTTACTTTCAAGAAGTAAGCTGACAAATGTTTTAATTCATGTAACAAAAGTTAATTGTTTTGTGACCTGTATTTAGCAGTCGCGTAGCAAGCTCTAACTCCATATGACCAAATCCTGACCAAGTAGCAACCAATAAGAACATCTGAATTTACCATAAGACTATCTGTCATAAAATTATATTAAATATTATGTAATATTGCACAAAATGTCTTTTGCCCTTTCTTTTTCTCACAACTAATATCACATTTCTGCCAGCCATTTTATATTTATTATGTCATCAAATATAGACTCAGAAAATGAGTAGGGTTCGTAGCTTTGAATACATAACTATCTTTGTTAAATTTTACCTTGGTAATGTAAAACACAGCTTAACATTTCAAAGCCTGGTTGTATTAAGGGTGAATATTGCTATCCAACAGATAAATCACTATCCAGTGGATAAGTAATAACAAAAGGTACCAGGGCCACTAACTTTTCAAAAAGGTACCACTAACTTTTCAACTTACTAGCCCAGTGGCTAGTGACATCTTAGATTTTATGACAATCCTAGTTTATTTACTAACCAAACTGGCTAGTGGAAATCAAAAACCACTAGCCAAAACTAAATTTCTACTAGTCTGTGGCTACTGAGTGGGCTACCATTAGTGTCAAGCCCTGGGTACTGCACTATCCACAGAATAAGGATTTATCCAGTGGATAGCATTATCCAACCTTCAAAGAGCTGGGGCCAGAAGTGATTTATGAGCAAATCTCTTAATGATATTTAGGAATCCAGCCAAGAGATGTTAAGAACAAGTAAAGACAAACATATTTCTCAGACTTATTTCTAAGGAAAGTTAGCAGCATAAGAAGGAAGAGTTATGAACCCTATTTTGAGTCTCTTGTCCACAGCTCAGGTTATTATGTGTAGTGATTTTTTTATTTGAAATTATTGTTATCTTTTTTTATTTAGGCTGGTGTTGAGTCGAAAGTTGAATTTAAGATACAGTCTGCACTCACTACTCTAGGTAATAATAGTGTCCTTTTTGTTGATATATGGTGAGTTTCCATAGTCACTGATGCTCTCATACACTCTGCTTTAGAAGTTGCGACAAACCGTGCTATAAACAAACCGTTCACATAAAGAGGAATTCTGTGTACAGCTAGGAAAGGCAAAAGAGTATCCTGTGTGGAGATACAGAGGGACAGATGGGGAAGTTTTGAGCCAAGAAGCATGAAAAACCCTCAGAACAGATTTACGTTATACCAAAAGCTATTTCATAATTAAGATTTGTCCAACTCAGTGGTACAATGTATTGAAATAATATTGCCTGTCTCCAGTTCTTGTTGAAAGAGAATCATTGTGTTGTAAAACTTCTACACTTGTATCAATCAAGAATAACTCTGACCTAAAATAATTGCCTTTTTATAGATGAACTTATTGCTGCAGGAGAAGCTGAAAGCTTTGACCTTGCTTTTATTGATGCTGCAAAGACTGAATATGACCAGTATTATGAGAAATCTCTACAGCTTCTGCGTCAGGGAGGGTTGATAGTAGTTGACAATGTAAGTAATAAACAAGTACTGTAGTTAGTTCTCTTGAGGACAAACTTGGGTTAAGTAAAAAAATCAAAGAAAACTTTCTATCTATTGTTACAGCAACTCATTGCTAAGACAAGTCCTTTATTTTAGCTCCAAAACACGGGAAGCTTTACGCCCTAGTGGCTTGCATTGTGTGCCCGCAAAGACTTCATGTCCGCTGGCCTACAGCGGGCATAATACCGACACCTGAAAACCCTTGCAATACTAAATCTATCACATATCGTAACAGCTATACATATTTGCTCTTAGCATTCAAAAATCTTTACAAGAGTAAGATTAAAAAAATGACTTAAGCAAGTTGACTGAAGCAGTTGAACAAGTCACTCAAGGACTGGAGCAAGGTGGCCAATAAGATAAGCTGAGAGGTAACCTAGGCAAGCTGACTAATGACTAAGAGTTAATCAAAGACTTAAGTGAGTGGGCCAGGACTTAAAAGAGTTGATGAAAGACATAAGCAAGTTGAGGAATGCATGTCTGCCCAGCACTGACACATCACTTGAATAGTTTTGGCTCACTGCCTTAGCAGTGACATATGCATGTGTCAGGGAAAAATTGTCGAGAACCAAATCAGTTTACTCTTGGACAGGTTTTTTCTGCTTGTCACACAAGGCACCCTCGTTGTGTGACATCCTTAAAAAAGGCTCTTGAGGAGTACAAACAGTGGTTAAATTACTTGAAATTTTATAAATTATTTGACATTGTTTTTTATTAATCTTGGTTTAGGTTTTGCTCAATGGTTCAGTTTGTGACCCCAAGAAAGTAGCTACAAAGCCAAGGACAAGAGCAATACACAACTTGAACACAAAACTTCACAAAGACACTCGTGTGACCATCAGTATGATTCCCTTCTCAGATGGTGTGACGATAGCAATAAAGCTCTAACTTGTTATTAATTTTAGACTGACAGTGACACAAATGTATATGAATCCATCAGTCCCCTAGTTTTTTATAAAGGGTACAGCCTGAATGCTTGAATAAAGTTCATATACTGCAAAGTTCATATAGGACAGAAGATTCTCTTGACATTCCTCCTTCTTTCCTTTTACTATTTAGTTTACTTTTACCTTTCCAATAGTAAAGTTGATTCATTTAACTTAAGTTAAGCTTGCATACCAGAGTATAAGAGTAGCATTGTAACCAATGTGGGTTACCTTTTCTTGTAGTCTAGGTCTAATGTTTGTTTATTGTTGGTAATGTTGTTATTTGTTTGTTTCTAATATTGACTGAAAGCTAAAACACTACAATGGAAATTCACTGTTTGATCACTCAGTAGCTATGATCACCCATGGGTGATGTAACCATGTGTACACAGTACATACACAAGTACATGCTTGAATGCATGCACAAACATACCTACACAAATCCAAACAAACAATAATTTAAGAAACATTTTAGATTTAGCAGTGAATCTTTTAGCACCTTTTGCATACCTACGCAGGTGTATACCCTCTTGAAATAGAACTGGTTTACATGTCCATTTCTTTATCTGTTGAAAGTGTATGATTTTGTTGATATATGCATAATGTGCTGATCAATTGGAAGCATCAACATCTCCCCTCAGCACTAGCAACCCACATCATCCATGCCCTGGGGGTGGGGGAATTTGAACCAGTGGAATACTCGAGGAGTTCAAAGTTTAAGAGTCCACTTTCAGGAGACCAAATTGCAGCATAAAAAGCTATCCCAAATTCAGAAACATTTTTTGATCATGCAAAGAATTGTTCAATAACAAATTGTCCTTGGGAGGACATTTGAATGCAGATTTTCTCCGGAGGGGCGGAAATCTGAACGAACCAATTTTCAAAAGTTCAAGTGCCCGTGGGGAGATGTTCCCTGAACTTAGTTGACAACACTATGTAAAGCTGTGAGCCTGGCCCCTGGGATTCCTCTTAAAATTCGTTCCTAGTCCTTCCAGCTTCACGTACATACCACGGATGAAGTAGTCTAACTTCCGGTGCTCTTAACCCTCCGTGAGAATGTCATTTTTAAACGAACACAAGTTGTTATTTGGGGCTGTGGGGATTGCATTATCATCTGCAGCTGCAGGATATGTGTTCAGTCGGACTTTGATTCAGCGCAGTTCGTTTGATACGCCCCTCAAAGTTCTCTCTGAAGGGAGCCCAGTGGCTAAATATGTCTTGAAACACGGAATCCGCGAACCCTCACCTCTCGCGCAATTAAGGCAGGTAATGATACTCATTGTGGCTTTTTATGTTAGTTACAACTTCCAGCCAGATTTGATTATATGTATCATCGTTGTCTTAGTAATACGTCCCTCTGTACCAACTAGCTGAAAAAGTCAAGGTGCAACACATGAATGATCTTGCATCACCTTTCATCACTCGTCCGTCACTTCAGTACAAATAAGAATATTATTAAAAGCATTAAAGGGTTAAGCTTGAAAATTGGTTACAAATTACTTTTTGAAGTCGTAATTGTGACCCCTCAATGCATTTGTCATTGCCACAATGTTTTTCTTTTTATCTTTTTTTTTTTTAAATCTTCTCTAAAGACCCCAAATAAATTAAAACATCATTCCATTATTATTTTTGTAGTTGTTAAGAGAATTTGGTGCTACACCGGTCGCCACCCTTTAGCACAGGCAAACCATCTGATGTGTCTCCTAACTCTTTTATAATTGAGCTATACAGAATTTAAAGAAACAAATTCACTGATCAATAACATATTCCAACACATCTTTTTCCTAACCATTTCCACCTAACATCAGTATTCATATTCTCCATACTGTTCTCTACATTTCCTATGGTGCTGACCAAGAGAATTTGTTTGATAATCAAGAGTTTCTTTAGTTGGTGATCATTTGTTATATTCTCATGGCCTCAATGTGTGATAAAGGGTTGATACTGTAAGGAGAAATTAGGAGTTCATTATTCTTAGGGGTCAAATGGTTAAATATTGTGCAGTAGCAGGGTCAATGAAATTTTTAATGAGTTCATGTTGTGTTTTAAAGCCCTTCTGTGCATGCCTTTTCTTCTCTGACATATACATGATTGTAGAGCCAACTGATTGAAAATTATTATTTACAAGTTAAAGGATGATATGGAAAAATACTACACATCAGTCCATTGACAATTGATTTAACTTTGTACCTGTGATATTCTGGTCAACATGGGCTAAAATATTAATTATTCAATACTTTATTCACAGCAGTCCTAGATTTTTATAGTTTGACTAAGAAATGTCATCAAACATGACAGTTAGTTGAGTTGTGCCCATAGTTAAAAGGTTTTATGTTCTTATCATCTGTTTCCTGAATGATGTGTTAAACATTTTGATGAGATACAATGGCAAAACTGTTCAGTCAGTGGGTCAATTTACGGCAAGTAATTCATGG